AAATGAAGAAATTTTGGATGTACTCAATGGAAATAGTCACACATATTTGAGTGATAATTCGATTGATTCAACAGATAATGCTGAAAATGAAATTTTCCCCATCAAATTTCTTAATAATATTACTCCTTTGGGAATGCCGTGCTATAAATTAAAGTTGAAAGTGGGTGCAATCATCATGCTACTGAGAAATCTTAATAGTAAATAGGATCTTTGAATGGTACTAGATTTATTATCAAAAGATTGTAATCTAATATTATTGAAGCTGAAGTATTAATATGCTCTGTAGAAGGAGAGGCTGATTCCAAGAACTGATTTGTCCCCATCTGACACTGGCCTCCCATTTAAAGGACAAACTCTAGACAGAGTAGATATATTACTACCTGAACCCATTTCACACATGTCCAGTTATATGTTGCTTTCTCTCGAGTTCGAAAAGTGTGTGATATTCAAATTAAAGTTGTAAATACTTCATCATAAGGGAAATTAGTAAAGCACTTGAAAGTGTTTTCACTCTTAATGTGGTATACAGGGAGGTATTAGAATAAGTTTAATTAACCTATCAGTCATTGTTTGTATCAGTTTTATTTTTACATCATGTTTTTATAATATGGTTTTGTTTTTATATCATGTGATTGTTTATTTATTAGTAAATTTATATATTATTTTCATACCATTTTACTAATTTTCTTTCATCTTTGATACTTCTATTATACAGAAAGGGCAAATAGCAATATTAAAATATTTCCTCTAATTAATTCCCTTTTAATGTACACAAATTTCATGCACCAGGCTACTAGCTTAACTAATATTTGACAAATAAGGCAAGAACATCTGATGGAATCAAGACAGTTTCTTCAATAAATTGTGTTGGGAAATTTGGAGAGGTACATGCAAAAAAATTAATCTAGACCACCAACTTAAACCATACAAAAGAATAAATTCATCATAAAAAGACTTAAATGTAAGACGTGAAATCATAAAATCCTATAAGAAACCTTAGGCAGCAAAATACCAGACTTTTCTTATGTCCTAACATAAGAAAAAATCTCCTAGGGCAAAGAAAACTAAGGATAAAAATAAACAAATAGGACTATATCAAAATAAAAAGCTCCTGCACAGGAAAGAAACCATCAACAAAATGAACAGGGAGTTAAATATTGGTAGAACATCTAATAAATGGTTAATATCCAAAAATATATAAGGAACTCATACAACTTAACAAAAGGAAGACAAACAATCTAATCTAAATGTAGGAAAGGACCTTAATAGACTGTTCTCCAAAGGTGACATACAGATGGCCAAGACACATATGGAAAAATGCTCAAAGTCACTGATCATCAGAGAGATGCAAATTTAAACAACAATATGGTATCACCTCACACCAGTAAGAATGGCTACCATCAACAAATCAACAAATGATAACTGCTGACGAGGATATAAAGAAAAGGAAACCCTACTACATTGCTGGTGATAATGCAAACTGATTCAGCCATTATGGAATGCAGTATGGAGTTACCTCAAAAAATCAAATATGGAATTGCCATTTGACCCACTGTCCCCATTTTTAGGAATATATCATAAGAAAACCAAACACTAATTGTAAAGAATATATGCACCATGTGTTCATAGCAGCACAATTTACAATAGCTAAGCTCTGGAAACAGCCCAAGTGCCATCTGTAGATGAGTGGATAAAAATGCTGTGGTACATTTATAATACTATGCAGGGAACATCTTACCCTTTGAGACAGCATGGAGGAACCTTGAGAGTATCATGCTAAGTGAAATAAGCCAGTCAGAGAAAGACAAGTATTACGTAATCTCACTCATGTATGGAATCAAATGAACAACAACAACAAAAAAACAACAACTGACAAACAGTGTGGATACAGAGACAGGGAAGGATGGAACAGATTGTAGAATCTCAAAAGGAAGGCTGGTGTGGGTGGGTCAGTTGGAAGTGATCAAATACTTGCATACATTTACACATAATCCATGGACACAGACAATTGGATGGTGTAAATCTGGGATGGGGGGCAGGGATAGGCTAGAGAGGGTCAGTGTGTGTGTGTGTGTGGGGGGGGGGATATATGTAATAATTTTAACAATAAATATTTAAAAAATTAAACTGCATTGAAAGCCTTATGTTTATAAATATGTCTCTGGTTACTCCATCAGTATCATTCACATTTCTAACATGGCCTGATCAGACTTGGACAGAAAAATATTGATGAAATATAAACAGATTTTTAAAAATGAATAGAGAATTTGAATAAACATTTTTTTCCCCCAAGAAGGCTTTCAGATGGCCATCGGGTACAGGAAAAGATGCTCAGCATCACTAATCACCAGGTAACTTCAAATGTAAACTACAAGGATATATGACCTCATATATGACTTGTTAGAATGTTTATTATAAAATAGATAAGAGGTACAAAATGGTGATTGAATAGGCAAATGTGTCCTGGGCCTTGTCCCGGAGCAGATAAGATGAGCAACTAAATTGAATAATATCCACCACGAATTGGCAAAGTAGACACAGCTGGTGAGACAATTCACAGCCAGGAAGGGCAGGAGAATGGTAAAATCAGAGATCTGGGCTGGAGAGAACTGTGAGACCTCCGAGACCAGAGGGTTATAAGGAAGCTGCATGACACCAATACCACATCCCTTGGAACAGGCGTAACATATGATTGTGGAAAGGAAGTCTGCAGAACTGTTGGCAGCAGGGTATTATTCTAGATCTAAATCCATGAGAGATTGAACACAGAAGGGGCAGCCTAGATAGCTGCCCCAACTGCACCATATGGGGGGTGGGGTAGGGGAGGGAAGAGGGGCTCACAGTGGTACAGTTCTTCCTCCTCTTTTTGGTCTTTGCTTTTATTGGCTAAACCTAGTTCATAGGATCTTTCAACTATAATACAAACACTCACCCATGACTGAGGTGCAGATGGAGATGCAGACTTGTGGAGTCTGGGGAGAGGCTGGGGAGAGGAAGGTCGGGGAGAGGTGACCACAAGTGTGGTGCTTAGTTATACACTTTGTCCTGGACATAAGCAGTCATTTTATCCTGAAGAGATAGCCCCTCCTGGCAGTCTCCAGACAACCTGAGTGGTACAAAGGATAGAAAAAAAATCTGAATAGTCTCTCAGGGACTGGCCTACAAAGAGGCTGTTTAGTCTCAACAACAGGAAACTGAGAAACAGCAGACAGTACAGAAGAGTGGGATCTTAAACCAGCCCACGTTGGGAATTAAAACTTGGCAGAAAGGAACATTTCACTTTTTCATTTCATTTTTATTTCATTAATATTTTGTTATATTCTTTTCATTTGTTTCTTTATTTTCTATTTCTTTTTGCATTATTTTTCATCATTCTAATTTTTTATTTTTAAAATTAATTCTTTTTTTTATTTAGCCAAACTTTTTATTTAGTATTCTGTAGTTGCTTAACACACACTTAAATGATCTGGGGGGGGGGGGGGGTCTTGTATATTCCCAAGGAAATGTCAGAAAGACAAAATATGGCCAGCACTGTTTTGGGTTTACTGGGTAAATAGCACTTTCTTTTACATAAACATCTGATCTCAGGTTTTTCATACTGATAACATTTGATATTTCAGTTGGAAGACTGTAATGATATCCTAAGAGTAGCATACCCCAATCACCCTCTAATAGCTAGCTTGTTTGTATAGGCAGAGGGATTCACCTCTCCATTTTAGATGGCTAAATGTTTGTAGATCTTAGAATTGCTTGTCTCATTAACTGGGGGGAAAAATTAGAAAGTGGCCTTTGGGATACTTTTACTTGGAAAATGACACAAGTCAAGCCTTAACACATTTCACATTTGCTTGTTGAAAGCAATGTCATAAGCTCAATCATGTTTTACTTTTCTCCTCACAAGAACATAAAAATTTTGAAAGGGGAACTTAACAGGAAATTTGAAAAATATAACATAATTTTTCCTTTTAGTAGTTCTTAGGGAGTTATGACAGAATAGGTTCCACTTCCTGTTTGTTTCTTTGAACAGAGATTTTTGTCGAAAGTTTTGTTTTTAATATCTGCTTCTGTCTCTCCTTTTATCAGATCAGCTTCCTCCACAGCCACCACCCCTGTATGTTCCGCGGCTTGAACTGCTGTAGGAATCACGTGGAGGAAGGTACCCCCTTTCCATAGAAGGAAGAAGCCCTCTTTCTTGTCTGCCAACCCTATCACGACCACTTGAGTAGAGATTACTTAGGCTGCTTGAGAAACTGTCTCGACTTCCACCATATCCGTCACGTGAGTTGCTGTAATCATCATAGCTACTGCGTCCACCGTCAGATGGTGGGGGCCCTCGTGCAGATGGAGCACTACGTGAGTTACTATACTGTCATATGAATTCCTGTAGGAACCACCACTTGGATGATCTAAATAGTCACGATCACAACCATAGCCATCTTTATCACTATAGTCTCTTGATGGATAGTCATCACCTGAACTGGAATGACCATAATCACGATAAGTATAATCTCTTGGTGGTGGAGCATAATCTCTTGTATCTCGAGAGCTGTGATAATCTCTACTTGAGTAGCTGTCCTTTGTAGAATATCCATCATCTCTTGGGGATAAATAAACATCTCTAGGGGAAGGCATGGGTTCCCTTCGAGGTGGGCCTCCATAACTGTCTCTTCCACGTGATACAGGAGCTCTTCCTCTCATTCCACTGCTGCTGCGAACTGGTCCTGAAGGAGCAAATCTTTTAGGAGGACGCCCACTTCTCAGTGGTGGTCCTCTTTTTACTGGAAGTGGTCCCCTGGAAGAATTCATGTTAAAATTCATGGAATAGCCACCATTATCCATGTGTCCTCCACGTGAGGGAGGTCCCCGGGTCCCTCCACTTCCTCCTCTTCCATCTCAAAGACCTCTTGAAGGGCCTCTGCTTCTTAGAGATGGAGGTGGTCACGTCTACCAGTTTCAAATGATGATTTAGTGGCTTGTTCTACCTTGATGGCGTTTCCATCTCAGGACTTTCCATTCATACGTCTGGCTGCATCTGCTGGGCTTTCAAAGGTGACAAAAGCAAATCCTCTCGATTTGTTGGTTTCACTATCTTTCATCAAGAGTACTCCCTCTATCCATCCATATTCGCCAAATACAGCTTCAAGGGCTTTCTCATTTGTTTCTGTATTGAGGCCACCAGTAAAGGGCTTTCCTGGGTGATCAGCTTCAATCATGTTTCCTCCTTGGTTAAGAGTTGGAGGGGTGAAAATGGTTTCAAGCTCCTACGAGCTCACTGACAGGCTTCCTAGCCGCTCAGCACAAGGGATGGTCAGCGGCTCCTAAGACAGAAGGGAAAACCCACAGGAACTACTGTGCAAAGAGGGTCAACAAAGGAAACAGCAGGAGGGAAGATGGCGGAAGAATAGATGGGCGGATTCTGAGCCCTATCCCGAAGCAGAAAGAGAGAGCAACTGATGGTCTTGAGCTGTGAGTGTTTATTAGCAAGCTGGGAGACAGCGAACACCAGAAGAAACTGCTGGGGGGCTGCTGACAGAGGTACCCCTCACAGGGAAGCACCCACGCGGGCTACGTCCCTGCCCGGAGCTACCTACCAGCTTGGATAGGGAAACCTCGCCATCTTGAGAGGAAGATAGGATCTTGTCAGAGGCCTGAATATCAACAGCCGCAGCGACCAACAAGCAACTGTGACCCCCAGAACGCGGATCCCAGGCGGCGCGAACACCTGGCCCCACAGGAGTGCCTCACTGCTTGGCGAAAAGGTCAGATTTCGCGGGGAGAGGGTGGAGCGTACTCACGCCAAAAACAAAGCCTGCGCGCACAGAGCACGCAGAAGCTGGAGGACAAGGGCGGTGATTACAAGTAGAAGCCCCCGCTGTTGGGCGGGTGTCACCCGTGAAAGTGGACTGGGCTCCTAACAGGAAAGACATCTAAAGAGCAACACATTTGGATCTGGCAAGGAGGGGTATCAGAGAGTTGAGGGAGATTGAGGTTGCTAGGACCTGCCTCCTTCCCCCTTCCATAGTTCCTGCTTCAGAGAGGACAAAAAAAAAAAAAAAAAAAAAAATAGCTGTAGAGGCTCTAGAGTCTGGGAAGTCAACCTAAAACACTGCCCCCAGAGGCTAATTCACAAATTGACTCTAGTGTAATAAAAACAAAGCAAAACCTGCCTAAAAATCAGGACTGGATCATAACAATAGAGGAAGCGAATGACCTTCATTACTGCAAATTTTATTTAAATTTTTTAAATTTTATTATTATTTTTAAATTTTTTAATTTTTGTTTTTTATTTTTGTTTTCATTATTTGCAACGTTTACTCAAGAAACTATTTTTTTCTTTTTCCTCACTTGATTTTATCTTTATAATTACTACAATGTACTACTACTAAGTTACCTTTTTCATCTTTTTTTTTTTTGTTTATTTTTATTATTTTTATTTCATTTGAATATACATATGTATATATATATATATATATATATATATATTTTATTTCAGGATTACTGTTCTACAGGCTTTATCTATCTTTCCTTCTCCAACGCTTTATTCTATCTCAACCTATCCTTTATGCCTTCACCCTCTTTCCGATATTTTCCTTTGGTACCCCGTTTATCTTAACCCTTACCTGCTCTAGATTTTCCCCATTCCTTCTGTCTACCCCCTCCTAAAATTTCACCCTACTTCTATATATCTAATTTCCAACTACTTGCTCCGAGCCCATTCACACCTCCCTCGCAGTTGTCCTAAAAACAAAACAAAAAAAGTCTTTCTCTCTAACACTTTGAAGTTGTATGTTGAATGTTAACTATACTGAAGCTGTATGCTTTTGTTTATAAGATTGATTTGCTATGCTTTTTGTTTGATTGTATGTTTTTGCTAGCTGGGTTCTAGTCACCCTTATTGGTGGTTATTAATATTTCAAACACATCCCGATTCAGTCCCCTGTGTGTTGTACCTGGTTGTGTTGTATTTGGTGCCTTTAAATCAAAGCAGGAGAGAGAGAACTACACAACCAGACATTCTAGATCATGGGGAGACCAAAACACAGCCCGCATATGAAAGAAAAGCAGGCCTCACCAGAAAAGGAAGTAAACGAGATAGAGGGAAGCAACCTACCAGAGCAAGAATTCAGAGTAATGATCATAAGATGGCTAAAAAGAAGGGAAGACAAATTTGACAATATGAGTAAGAATCAAGAGGAAATGAAGAAGAACCAAGAAGAAATGAAAAATGACATCGCTACTGTAAAGAACTCAATAGAAAGCATCAAGAATAGATTAGAAGAAGCAGAGGACCGCATCAGCGAGCTAGAAGACAAGATGGAAAAAAATACCCAATTAGAACAGCTTCTGGAAAAAAAAAAAAAAAAAAAAAAAACAGGAGGAAAGTCTAAGGGAACTCTGGGACAATACAAAACAAAACAATATTAGAGTAATAGGGGTTCCAGAAGGAAAGGGAATTGAGGAAGACATGGAAAATGTATTTCAAGAAATAATGACAGAAAAGTTTTCTGAGATAGAGAAGAAAAAACCCACACAAATCCAAGATGCTCGCAGAGTCCCAAGCAAAATGAACCCCAGAAAATCGACCCCTAGACACATTATAATTAAGCTGACAAACACCTACGACAAAAAAAGAATTTTAAAAGCAGCCAGAGAGAGCCAGAAAGTTACATATAAAGGAATCCCCATCATACTAGCAACTGATTTCTCCTCAGAAACTTATAAGGAATGGGATGAAATATACAAAGTCATGCAAAGGAAGGATCTGAATCCAAGAATACTGTACCCAGCAAGGCTATCAATCAAAATTGAAGGGGAAATCAGGAGCTTCACAGACAAAAACAGACTAAGGGAATTTATCTCCACCAAACCAGCAATGCAAGAAATGCTAAAGGGTCTACTGTAAAAATAAAGAAATAGAAAGCAAAGAAGGAACACAGGGGTATAGAATTAAAATGACGTCAAATGAGTACCTATCAATAATAACTTTAAATGTAAATGGGTTAGATGCTCCAATCACAAGACATAGGGAAACAGATTGGATAAGAAAACAAGACCTGTATATCTGCTGTCTAAAAGAAACCCACTTCAGAAAAAAGATGCATACAGACTGAGGGTGAAGGGATGGAAAAAAGTTTTCCAGGCGAATGGAAATGAAAAAAAAGCTGGGGTAGCAATACTTATATCTGACAAATTAGATCTCAGAGTGAAGGACATAACAAGAGATAATGAAGGCCACTTCATAATACTAAAGGGAGCAATCCAAAAAGAAGAAATTACCCTGGTAAATATATATGCACCCAATATGGGAGCACCCCAATATATAAAAAACTGCTGGAGGACATTAAAGGAGAGATTAATAGCAATACAATCATAGTAGGAGATCTTACTACCCCACTGTCACCCCTTGACAAGTAATCTAAACAAAAAATCAGCAAAGAAATATCAATCCTAAATGACTCGCTAGACCAGATGGAATTAATCGACATCTTCAGAACATTCCACCCCAAAGCCACAGAATATACATTCTTCTCAAGCACACATGGGACATTCTCAAAGATAGACCACATTTTGGGACATAGGCAAAGTCTCTTCAAATTCAAGAAGATAGAAATCATATCAAGCATCTTCTCAGATCATAGTTGCATAAAACTGGAAATTAACTACAACGAAAAAAATCCAAAGAAATCAAACACATGGAGACTAAACAGCATGCTATTAAACAAGGACTGGGTTACCAGAGAAATCAAGGAAGAAATTAAAAACATCCTGGAAACAAATGACAATGAAAACACAACTATCCAAAATCTATGGGACACAGCAAAAGCAGTTTTGAGAGGGAAGTTCATATCATTACAAGCCTATTGCAAAAAACGAGAAAAAAGGGTAACAAATGATCTAACTCTACAACTCAAAGAGTTAGAAAAAGAGCAACAAGAAAAGCCCAGTGTAAGCAGAAGGAAGGAAATAACAAAAATCAGAGCACAGATAAAAGACATAGAGACCAAAGAAAAAGACATAAGATCAACAAAACCAAGAACTGGTCCTTTGAAAGAATAAACAAGATAGATGGACCCCTAGCCAGGCTAACCAAGAAACAAAGAGAGAGGACCCAAATAAACAAAATCAGAAACGAAAGAGGTGAAATAACAACAGATCCCACCGAAATACAAAGGATTTTTACAAAATACTACGAACAGCTCTATTCCAACAAACTGAACAACCTGGAGGAAATGGACATATTCCTAGAAAAATACAACCTTCCAAGACTCAATCAGGAAGAATCTAAAAATCTCAATAGACCAGTGATTTGGGAAGAAATTGAAACAGTCATCAAAAAACTTCCAGCAAACAAAAGCCCAGGGCCAGATGGCTTCACAGGAGAGTTTTACCAAACATTCAAGGAAGAACTAAAACCTATCCTCCACAGACTATTCCAAAAAATCCAAGAGGAAGGAACACTTCCAAACTCCTTCTTTTAAGCCAGCATCACCCTAATACCAAAACCATAGGTTCAATGCACTCCCCATTAAAATACCAACGGCATATTTCACTGACCAAGAAAGAACTCTCCAAAAGTTCATTTGGAACAATAAAAGACCCCGTATAGCCACAGCAATCCTGAGAAAGAAGAGTAAAGTAGGAGGGATCTCAATACCAGACTTCAAACTGTATTACAAAGCCACTGTTCTCAAAACAGCCTGGTACTGGCACAAAAACAGACATATAGATCAATGGAATCGAATTGAGAACCCAGATATCAACCCAAATCACTATGCTCAATTAATATTTGACAAAGGAGGCACGAATATACAATGGAGTCAAGACAGTCTCTTCAATAAATGGTATTGGGAAAATTGGACAGATACATGCAAAAGAATGAAACTAGATCACCAACTTACACCATACACAAAAATAAACTCAAAATGGATACAGGACTTAAACATCAGACAGGAAACCATAAAAATAATAGAAGCATCCACGGGCAGCAAAATCTCAGACATATGCCAAAAGAACTTCTTCACTGATACTGCCCCTAGGGCAATGGAAGCTAAAGAGAAAATAAACAAATGGGACTACATCAAAATAAAAAGCTTTTTTACAGCAAAAGAAACCATCAACAAAACAACAAGAAAGCCCACTGTGTGGGAGAACATATTTGCAAATATTACCACTGATAAAGTTTACTCTCCAACATCTACAAACAGCTTATACA